CTCCTGAAATGCACACCTTCACTGTGGCATGGCCTGCTATGTATGAAGCTCCCTATTTTTGACTTGACCATGGTCAATACAACAGAACTTTTCTCATGGTTACTATTGCTGTTAGTCATTAAAGAGTGTCACCTCAGGGTTCTTTGATTGTAAGACAGGCATTTTTAGTGGGGCCATCTCCTCCCACGAGGTTTCCAGGCAGTTCAATATTTTATGCTTTCAGGATTCTGGTTTAGAGTGGAGGCTTAGGAGGCACATTTTCAAAAGGGGTCAAAAGTGAAGTTTACCACAGCTGGTTCAATTGTCCAGAAAACCTACCCTTGTGGGTCATTTTCTCTGCAGGCTGAACAACAGTGAGTACATTCCACACAAACTGCATAGGTGTCTGGCATGCAGAAGGCAGTTCTCCTTCAGTGTAAATAACCCCAATACCAACACAGTTGAGGGAATGATCTCAGTGAAGACAAGGACAATGAAGCCTGTGTTAAAAACCACAGAATCCCCAATCCAGAAGTCCCTTTCCTAAGTGAAGAGGGTAAGGAAAATTCAGGTTTCTCCACCCGGGACCAAAAGGAACTTCCCTGTAAGCTCTGAGTGCTGGCAGACCTCTCACAGTGGAGCTGACATCACTGATGCTCTGAGTGTGGGGAAACAGTAGCCACAAAACTGGACTAGGAGAGCACCAGGGTATCCCTCCTGCTGAGGCCGTGTAAGTGCACTGAATGTGAGAACATTTACATGAGAGTTCCATGTTGTCAGGAAGAAGAAAGTTCACCCTTTGGAAAGGTTTTATGTCTGTCAGGAATGTGGGAAAATCAGCGCAAGATACAACCTTGTTCCCCATGTACACCCACACACGGGGAGAGGCCTGTAGCACATGTGTGAAAGCCTCTCACAGCCAACACTTAACTACTCCAGCATGAGAGTTCACAAGGGAGAAAGCCTTATGAGTTGACCAAGTGTAGCAATTTCTTTGGGCAACACTCTAGCCTTATTGTCCACTAGAGAGTTGTACACGATGTACCAGTGTGACAGTGACTTTGGGGAATGCCCTAACCACAATTCTGACCTTGCTGTAGTCTGCAGAATCCACATCACTCCAGGGCCTTATAAACACACCAACGTGGGAAAGCCTTTAGCTACACACAGAGTTCTTCAACATCAGCGAGTTCACACTGGATAAAAGCTTCCTGAGAGTAGTGGCTGTGGAAGATCCCTCGGCAGGAAGTGCAGACTTGTTGAGCATCATGACATCTCCAGCACAGGAAGTCTTCAGGAATGCAGATATAGCCGGCTCCAGCATCAGAAAGTGCTTACCAGGTCCAAATCTTACAAGGGGGACATGTGAGAAATACTTGAGATATAAACACACCCTTATTCTCTGTCAGAGAATCCACATGGAGACAGACCTTATCCGTGCACCTAATGTTGCAAGTTCTTCAGGCAACGCTTGGCCTTATTTCACATCAAAGAGTTCACACGGGTGAACAGCCATATGAGTGCATCCATTGTTGGAAATGTTTTAGATAAAGATCCACCCTTAACCTTCATCAGAGAGTTCTCACTGCAGAAAGACCACACACATGCAGAGTGTGGGAAAGCCTTCAGCCTTCAATTAACACTGACCCCACCCCAGAGAATCCACACTGGAGAGAAACCTTATGGCTGCAGTGAATGTGGGAGGCTCTTCACCCACAAATCCTGCCTCCTTAAACTGCATTGGATCCACACTGAAGGAGACCTTAAGCCAATGCCTCTCCCTTCTGTGGCACTAGGAAAGTCACTTTGAGAAAAGGCCTTGGAGTTCAGGCAGAATGTGACCTGCTCAGTCAATTTAATTAGTTATCAATAGCACAGATAACGGTGAAAGTGCCCTTTGTGATACAGCTATCAAGCCCCAGGTGACTCCCATCTGGACATCCACACTGCAGGCCTGACTGTGGGTGACAGGTGAGAAGCATCAGTAGCCGCATTGCACTTTCCATGTGCACAAAGCCCTCTCCAGAGTGACATCACTGTTGGCTCTTGTGGCCGAGGCCGTCCCACCGCCACTAGCCTGCATGCATCGGGTTGTTCAGTGCTTAGAGAACCCTGGTGTGAACTGCCTCATGTGTTATCCTGGAGGAGAGCAGCATGGATAAGATCATTAGAGTTCGCAACATCTCCATCCAGACCCTGGGTTTGGTTAATAAACGTGGAGGGTAGAAATCCAGAATGTTGGCTTCTGGAATGCGCTGATCCCTCTAGCTGTGACAGGCGAGAGAGCACAGATAGTCTCAGCACATACCTGGCTGTTTTTATGTAAATACTTGGTAATGGCCGATGTTCAAATGTTCCTGTATTGCCAGGACTCACGGGCCAGAAAGTGGAGAAAGGAAAGAGATGCTAAGTCCATGTTGTGACCTGGGACTCAAAGCCGGACTTTATTGTTCATGATGCTCCGTGTCCTTCCAAGTAGGCCTCTCTCCCACAGAGGGTGGGACCAGCGAGCCTTAGCCAGACATTCTGGTTGTTTCAGTAGACAGGAAATCCCTATTTTCATGCTTTTAACCATTTCTTTTGTATGAACCATTTCATTTATTAAAGCTCTATTAAGGCAGAGTTGATGTGCACTATGGTGTGCATAATTAAAGTATGAATTGTGGCAGCTTTTATTTAATGTACAAACCCAGGAAATCATCTCGGCAGTCATGATAATGGACATTTTTATTGCTCCTAATGTTCCCTCCTCCCCCTTTGTAATCCCTGCTTTCCTAACTTCCCGTCCCAGTGTTCACTAATTTTTACTATAGATTTGTTTTCCTCTGTCAGTTCATGGAAATAAATCAGTCTTTGTTTCCTGTACCAACATAAAGATTTCTCCATTAGAATATGAGCATCTGACCGTTGTGTTATGGGGCAGTTTTCTCCTGCATTGAACTCCATAGTTTGTTCATGGCTTCAAGACATTTGTCTCTCCTACTTGGGACCAATCCAAGTAAAGCTGCTATGAACATTCACCTCTCAATCTCTCCTGTGGGGTACACTCCAGGCATCAAAGGCCTGGTGTCTTTTTCACCCATGAGATTTTCCCTTCTAGATGGTACTCAGACCCAGAAAGGTTGACGCTGAAGCAGCATAGTCCTGACATGTCCCAATAGAAGGGCCATACACAATGTCACACAGCCTCGTGAGAAACCAGTATTGACCAGGAAGCCTCAACCTTTGATTGGGGATTCCACAGGCTGAGGAAAAACTTCTGAGATTTCCTGGTTTGAATAATCCCATCAGGTTTCAGATTTTAGTCATTCCTGGTGCTGAGGAGTTGGTGTGGAAAAACTCTGGCTTGGTGCTCAAAGTTGAAGCCAGTCTGTGCACTGGGGAGTCACTGGTTTGCACATGAGAGCTGTGTTCCTGGTGAGGCCCTTTGGTCTCTCTAAGGGGTGGTCACCCTTCCTTAGGAAGTATTACAAGCTGTCACATCAGAAAACCAGTGAACACGGCACTTTTTGGTCGTAGTCTACTTGCATGTTTATCTGATACACTGTGTCCTGTCTGTGTGACTCTGCTACCAGCAGTTAGACCCTGGGTTCCTCAGCATGCTCAGCAACACTCGCTCTGCTCAGTCTGTCTTCTAAGTATTCGCCACTCTCATTGGTTGTGCTGTCATTTGTATCTCCCTATGAACTAATGCTGTTCATGATTTCTGTTTGCACTGATTGACACTCCTGTCCTTTTCAGTTGTCTGGTGTTTTGTGTGTGAGCACATGAGAGAGCATCCATGCACAATCACAGTGTGCACATGGAGGTCAAAGGACAATCTCGGGTGTCACTCCTCAGCTACCTTGTCTGAGACAGGTCTCTCTGGTCATCTGACACTGGATTCCAGACAGACTTCTGGATATTCACCTCTCTCTCTCATCACTGGACAGGAGCACGGGGATTATGGACCTATGCTGGCCAGACTGGCTTTGCATGGATTCTGGGATTCGAACTCCGGTCCCCAGTAATGCAAGGGGCCCTTTATCACTTGAATCTTCTTCCCAGAATCTTCTTTTCTTTAGTTGAGCGTCTACATCTATCTTTTCCCCATGAAGGTTTCTTTTTTCTTTTCTTTTTCTTTTTCTTTCTTTTTTTTTTTTTTTGGTTTTTTTGAGACAGTGTTTGTCTATGTAGCTTTGGAGCCTATCCTGGCACTCGCTCTGGAGACCAGGCTGGCCTCGAACTCACAGAGATCCTCCTGCCTCTGCCTCCCGAGTGCTAGGATTAAAGGCCACCAATGCCCGGCCTATGCTTTCTTCTTTATTGTTAAGTTTTATTTTTCTTTTTGGAACAGGGTCTTTCTATTAGTTTGACTGTCCTAGATCTTGCTATGAGGACTGGGCTATGAAGAATGGTGACTGTCACTAGCAGCCCAAGAGAATCTGATAAGCAAGCACACTCAAGTCATCTTCAGAGTGACTGCACTGTTATGGACGGATTAAAAGGAGCCAGCTGCCCTGTGACATGTGAGGTGAGTAGCTGGGCACCTCATTTCTGTCCTGCCTGCCTGGTGACGGCTGCAGTGACTCACATGCCATTTCCCTGAGGTAGCTCCTATCTTGGGATCTCACAGAGCTGCAGTCAGCCTGGCCTGGTGATGAAAATGCCTTGAATTTCAGCACTCAGGAGGCATTGACAGGTGGACCTCTGTTAGTTGAAAGCCAGGCTGGTCTACATAGCAACAAAAAGTGGCTTTCCCATGATTACCAGGCCAGTCAGTGCCAGTCACCCTGCTCTGAGTGCCCACACAAGTCAGTTCTCTCATTGTCTCACAGATCTTCTGAAGAAGTCACGTGACACCTGCACAGCAACAGACATGGAGACCAGAGCAGAGCTGCAGGTGTTTATTAGAAAAAGCTTAGCAGACAGAACAATGAGGGGCCAGGCGTCTGGATTCCAACTTCGGGAGGAGAGAGAGGACAGGGCAGCAAGATGGCGCTCACATCGGCCATCATTGTGAAAGGCCTCTAATATGCGAATTAGAATTTTTCTATTATTTCTTTGGTATAATATTCCCTGCATTCTGGGCTGAAGTTGATGGCTTCCTGGAAAACAAAAGGATAGAGAGGGTCTGAGGTGGTCACACGCAAGTTGTACAACCTCTGCAGGGCTCCCCAGTCCCCCACAAAGAGGCTGCTCCTTTTCTTTGGGAAAACTCCCTGCAATGATTCAGGTCTCCACAACACACTCTGCCCAAGGGAGCTGCAGCTCATCCACAGCTGTCAGGAGGAAGTCTGAAAAGCCACCCTAGCCAGGCAGGGATGAAGGGAGAAGGTTCTGGACATCATGGTTGGAACTAGTCTGGAGAGGACACTACAAGGCTGAGTATTAGTTTTGATGGCGTCTGCCATACCTGAGGACTTCTGTCCCGTACATTGGCCGTGTGACCATGTTAGCAAAATATTCCCTGTGTAAGTGAGTTAGAAGAAAATCTTTTCTAGTGAATGCTGTGGTTTTGCAGGACCTGTCACTCACACCTAAAGTACAAATATCATGAAGGATGCACAAATGTTCAAAATACACATCTCTGCAATACAGCTTTGCCTAAAGATGAGACAAAGGGGAAATGAGGAGCAGCTGTGGTGAGCGGCTGCTGGCACTCTGTGGGGGTGGGGTGGCATCTAAGCCATGCAGGGCGGTTCTGGCCTGGCTCTCAAAGTCACCAGGGGAGACAGGGGGTAGAGTCAAGGGAGGCTCCAGAGAAGGTGACACACTGGCCAGTAGACAGAATTCAGACATCTTAGAGTAGAGCTGAGGGAGCCCCACCTGTGCAGCAGCCAGAGCAAGGACCTCCTGTGTCCCTGCCTGCCCTAGTGTGGGGACAACCCGAGTTCACCCATAGCATGGGAGTGATTTGCAGGAGCTTGCTTACAACAGGCTGGCTGTGGACCAGGCATGCTGCATTGACATGTGCTATGGCGGGCACGGGTTTGTGTGCTCTGTTGTTCATCCCCTAACACATTACTGGCTATATGGGTCACTTTTACACAGCATTGTACCATGTGTGCATGGAGGCATGAAGGATAGGGAGGAAGTTACCATAAGCGATGCATCCATGGCTTTGCCTTTCAATCCCAACTCATTGTAGCATTCCAGGATTTTGTCGAAAGCAGCCCTCTCCTCTGCTGTCGGGTTGAATTGGGAAATGACGGTATGCATTATTGTCTTGTCTCCAATCAAAAATGAATGATAGGTGTCCAAGAAAGGACCGCATGCTTCTGCTACAAAGAAAACCATCATTAAAGATCCCCAGGCCACAGAATCACACATTCAGGTTTTCCAGCCACATCTACAAATGTCTTAAGTGACCCTCCACACAGTCCTGCCCTCCCAAGGCTGCTGCCTCCCAGACACAGCACACAGTTTCCATAGACACGCACTCTCAGCAGAAGGGGATAAATGAGTGCACCAGCCTGCATATCTGACCTTCACAGAAGCCCACACATGACCCAGCTTCAACTGTGCATGCAGCTAAGGACAGGGCATCAGCACCACACCTCCAGCTCCCCATCCCCCACCCCAACTGTCTCCATACAGAACAGTCAGCCTCACGGGTCTTCAGTAGGACTCCTGACTAGTGATCTCCAGGGACCCCTTAGATCTGTCTCGTGCACTGCCTGCAGATCCATAAGGAGGTGAGATGGGGTGAGCTAGGATCAGAAAGACCATCTGTCCCCATTCTCACTTTTCTGGAAACCCAGCTCCCTGGTCACCAGCAAGGCCAGCAGAAGCAGGGTCCCCTTCATGGTGGAGAGTGCTGAATGCTCTTCTCAGAGCAGATCCTGCTGCCTTATAAGATGCTGTCTCCCTGAGGCCAGTCCCACCCACCCCATCTAACCCAACCCCAACCCTGCCTCCCAGGAGTTCCAAATGCCTTTGGCAAGAGTCTGGCGCCTGTGGATTCCTGTCCCTCTTGCCTGGGGGAGTGAGCATAGGGTCCCCTCCCACTCTGAAGAACAAATGTCCGGAGACATCCTAATGTCATCAGTTTCTGGATAGAAGTGGTTGTTCCTTTGCCAGTGACCTTTCTAAGCAGTCACTTGCTGAGCCAAGTGCCCTGTGTCCTGCCCCAACTGTCACCTCTGCTTCCTGGTCACACTCCTCCTCAACTCTCCTGGCTGCAAGCATGACCTCTTCAGCTTGGTCTTCAGCTTGAATGAGGAAACCCAAGGGTCAAGGAGGGTTTCTGTCACTGTAGGCAGCCAACATCCCACAACACTGCTTTTGCCTGACTAGAGCAGAAGCGTGGGAATCTGGGGGCCATACTGTGTTCCTGGATTAGACATCTCAGGACAGGGGACACCATCTGAGGCTTTGAGTGAGTGGCACCCAGGGTGGTCTCAGCATGTTAGGTCATGTGGGTATCCTCGGGGGCTGGTGGTGTTTTTGTCCCCTCAACTGCATCCTGCTGCCATTCCCCCCTCACTGGCACGGTAGCTCATTCCTGTTGTCCTGCTCTTGTCTTTCTCACCTCTACCAGGAAGCAGGTCTCTAACAGTTCAAAGAGTAGAGTCCATGTGGAGGGATTCGTGCCTGTACCATGAGCTCTCCTCTGGAAACACAAGAAAGCCCAAACAGGCTCTTAATAGTCAAATATCAGACAATTTCCATAACAAACTAAATAGCATGTATTAGAGCAAATAAGCATTTTCCATAACAAACTAAATAGCATGTATAACATAATTGTGAAATATTATATGAATCCATGCTTCCACGAACGGTTAGATGAGCAGAGACACAAATAGTAATGAAAGACAGTGTTCTTAGAAGAAACCATTACTTCTTATATATGTTCCTTCAGTCTTTCAGTGTGAGCTCCATGTGTCTAAAGGAAAAAGCAAGGTGGGCTGGGCCTGCCCCAGTTAGGAACATACTTGCTGTGTAAGCTTGAATACCTGAGTTTCAGTCCCCAGACCCATGAGGAAAGCAAGGTACAGTGGTGCACCTTGTAATTCCAGCCCTAGGGTTGGGGCCGGGGGTTCCCTGCCCAGCCAGTCTAGACACATTAGCAAGCTCCAATTTCAGGAAGGGACCCTGTCTCAAAATATAAGGAGATCGGCTGTTAAGAGCACTGAACACCCACATGGCAGCTAACAACCCCCTGCAAATCCAGTTCCCCAGGATCCAACACCCTCCTCTGGGGCCCACAGGCCCTGCACACACAGTGTAAGACTTTCATACAAGCTATATCTCCATGCATAGAAAACAATATAAATAAAATCTTTTTACAACACAGAAATCGGTATATAAAACACGTATGTTTGCCCAGGCAGTGGTCGTACATGCCTTTAATCCCAGCACTCAGGAGACAGAGGAAGGGGTTTCTTTGTAAGTTTGAAACCAGCCTGGTCTACAAGAGCTAGTTCCAGGACACCCAGAGCTGTTACACAAAGAAAACCTTGAAAGACCCCCCCCCCCGGCCCTTAGCTTTTTCTTTTAAGTTTGCCGCCTCCTCTGGGCGGCAGCTGGCGGGGCGAATACATCCTCCCCTGCACTCCCCGACCCTTGATCCCCACAGCTGCCGGCTCTCACTCCCCCGCCGCCGCCGGGCAAGGCCAGCCCCCGCCGGATCGCTCCGGATCGCTCCGTCCCAAGGTCAGCCATCTGGACGCGGCAGAAGATAAAGGCCGTTTCGCCTGACTATTAAACCTTGAGAAAATGTTGATTTGATGCTTTTCGCTTCTGTACTGTGCCTTTTTCCCCTATAAAAGGACCCCCCTTCTGGGGCTCGGGGCTTGGCCGAACAGAAGCTAAGTCCCCGGGTACGCGAGCCACCAATAAAGCCTCTTGCGTTTGCATCCAAAGTTCGTGGTTTCGCTGATTCCTGGGTGCGGGTCTCCTTCTACGAAAGTACCTCTTCGGGGTTCTTTCAACCTGTCTTGAAAAACCAAAACCAAAAAAAATGTATGTTTATATACATGTTCAGGCATGCACAGACATACATACACAGAGATATATTTGTATGTGGAGAGAGCCTAGAGGCACTTGGTTGTCTGTCTCTGGCTGCCAGGTGAATACACAAATGTATGCCGTGTCTTTTAGTTAAGGTTACTATTACTCAGCCAGGTGAGGTGGCACACACCTTTAATCCAGTACTCAAGATCTAGAGGCAGGTAGATCTCTGTGAGTTTGAGGACAGCCTGGTCTACAAAGCAAGTTCCAGGATAGTTGTGAAACAAAGAAAACCTGTCAGGAATAAACAAAAATAAATACATAAATGAAGAAAAATATTACTGTAACTATGATAAAATACTTTGACCAAAAGCAAATTGAGGAGGAAAGGGTTTATTTGGCTTATACTTCCATATCATCATTCATCATCTGTGTCTGGACAGGAACTCAGGCAGGCAGGAGCTGATGCAGATGCCAGGAAGAGTGTT